GCTACTATACTTACTAGGCTATTATAGCTTTAAAATTTAATTATAATACTTTAATAACTTTTATAATTTTTTAAAGGTTATTTTAAATAAGATTAAAATGCCTTTTTTACTAGCTTATGGTTTTATTAAATAAAACTAGGGGTTTTTTAGTTACTAAAATATTAATTATATATTTAAAAATATTTAAAACATAGCCTTTTTTTTAGCTTTCTTTTTAAGAAATATAATAACCTTTTTATTAATTTTAAGATATAGTTTTTTTACTATAAGAGTATTTAATATATACTTTTTAATTACCTTATACTTAAGCTAGTGGTAACTTCTTACTTTTAATTTAAATTTTTTAAAAACTTATTAAGCTAGGTTACTTAAAAAGCCTTGGGTTAGCTAAATATATTAAGTATAATTATTTAATTTATTAATTTATATAACTTAAATTAAAATTATATTATATTTTATAATATAATTATAAAGGTTATTAGTCCACGTGCATAACTAGCTTTTAAATTTTTTAAAATACTAGTATAATTACTTAATTTAGTACTAGTTAAGGTACTAGTATTTATTTAGTATAATAATTTTTAAAACCTTTTAGTCCTGTTTGGCATACCCTTTTAGGTTTTTAATAATATTTAAAATATTATAACTATAGTAGCCCACTACTTAAGTAATTTTTTTTAATTTATTATAAATATTTTAGTTTTTACAGGCTTATTTATATATTTTTAAAAACCTAGTTATATTTTTATTATTAAATATAGGTATGCTTAAAGTACTAGAAATTAATATAAGGGTAATTAATAAAAAATAATACTTTTTATTTATTATACCCTTTATATTTTTAAAGGTGTTAATATTATTACCACGGGAGTTATTAAAAAGCATGCTAATTTTATTAATAGTACTACCAGGCTTGCCCTTAGCCACGGGGGATATATTATTAAAATTTTTAATTATAAGTATAAATATTTACTTAGTGTTTTTATTATTATTCTTGCTTAAAAACTTAAATATATAAAATATTTTTATTTAATAATAAAAGTTAGCAAGCAAGTAGTAGGCTTATATATATTAAAGGTTTTAAATAGTTTTTTAAAGGGCTAGGTTTATAAATACTTAATAAAAAATAAAATTTTATAATTATAAAAAAGGACTTATAAAATATTTTTATTTTATTATTAAGTACTTAGTATAACTACCTAGGTGGGCCCTTAGGAGTTTTACTTTAAATTTACTAGCTATATTTATACTAGCTTTATTAATTTTATTATTTAATTTATTTAATTTATTAAGTAATTAGTATTTTTTGGGATTTCCTAGTTTATTATTTTTTTAAAAATTACTAGGGTACTTTATACATGGCCTACCTATTTTTTTACTAGGTTTAATTTATATTTATTATTTAATTTTTTTTAACCCTTAGGCCTTAATAATTTCTTGCCCCTTTTTTTAATATTTTTAGGTACTTAAGTTATTAAGGTATAGCTACTAATATTAAAAACTTTTAATTTAAGGGTTTAGTAAACACCCTTTTTACCCTTATAATATTAAAAAAATATGCCCTGTATTAATTACTAATATATAAAAAGGTAGTATTAAAGTATAAGGGCTAAAAAAGCTAAATAATAATAGTAACCTAGGACTAGATAGTATATAATATTAGTAAGAATAATAATAAAAATATATATATATATTAGGGTAAATAATAAACTAGGTACAGGAGGCAGGTAGTAAGGCTATAAGTACTATAGGAATTAATGTTAGGGTGCAACCCCACTACACTAGAGCACTAGCAAGAAAATAAGTATTTTTATTAATTAAAAAAAATTTATTAAAAAAGGCTAAAAAAAATATTATTAATATAAGCAGCACCTCTCTTAAAATAAACTAGGTAATTATTTATATTTTAAAGGCTTGCTAAAAATATATTAAGCAGGCTATATATAGGTTATATAATTAATACCTATAATTAAAATACTTTCCTTTATTATAAAAGCTTGCAAAGGTGGTAATATTTTTAAAGGGTAATAAAAAAATAAGTTTTTATTTTAATTTTAGCGTCTTATAGCACTACTTTTAGTATTAAAAAAAAACTTAAATAAATTATAATATACTATATTTTTTTCTTATACTAGTGCAAAAGGTGCTAAGCTTATAATAATATAATACTTTACCTAAGTACTTAGCTATAGATTTAATAGTTTTTTTTACTTATAATATAAAAATAACATTCTTGTAAAACTAAAAAATTATTATAATTATTATAAATATTTTAAGCGCCTTTAATACTATTTTATTATAATACTTATTTTAATAAATAATAAAGTAAGGCTAGCTATGTATGCTTCTAGCCTTAATTATAAGCTTTTTTAATAAATAAAGTATAAAAGTATGCCTAAAATTTATTATAATAATAATATACTTAATATATTATAACATGCTATAAGGCTTGCCCCTATTCCTAGTATTATTTTTATTATATATTATTAAATTATTACTAGTAAACCTAATTTTATACTTTAGCTATATAAATAACTTTTATTTTAGTTATATAAATAACTTTTTTTATATAAATTATAAACTTTTAATAAAAAATATTCGCGGCATGCTAGCCTAAAAAAAGTAAAATAAAGTAGCCTTTACACCTAAAAAACTAAAAATATTATATATTACCTAAAAGTGGCATGGTAAATTACCCTTATTAATAATTAATAATTAATTAATAATTACCCTTATTATTATAGTACTAGGCTAAAAATAGCCTATATTATACTAGCTAGGTATTTTTTTAATAAATAGCTTTTTAATATTAATATATTATTAAATAAGTAGCTAAAGCCCGTGTAATAACTTAATATATTTATAATTTAATATATATAGCGCATGGTTTACCCGCAAACTTATTTTATAAAATAATTATTATTTATATTATTTTTAATTTTTTATATAAAATAAAAGCATAATATAATAGTAAAACTAAGCCTAAAAAACATGTATAAAACTTAAAGGTTAGTACCTAATTAGGCTAATATATTAAAATAATTAAAAAAACCCTAGCTTTAGCCGCCCGTAACATGCTTTTAATTTTTTAAATAATATTTATAATAACCCTTTTTAAGAATATTAAACTTTTTTTATAATAATAATATTAAAAAAAGCTTAACTATAATTTACCCTAAGGCTTTAATTAATAAATAGCTAAAATTTACTAATAGTATAAGTAATATTACTAAAAAATTATATAAAATTAAGGTATTAATTTATATTAAAGGCCTAAAATTAAAATATAAATTATAAGGGTGCCTTTTTTAAATATTTTAAAGCTAGTCCTGGCGCATTTTTACTACTTTAAAAAATACGTAAAAAGTTTTACTAAAAATAAGGCCAAGAAGCTGGCTACAAAAAAATTTAAATAATAATAATAAGTATTATTAATAATAAAAATGGTAATTTTTAGTAATAGTTTTAAATAAATATATTAAAAAATTTACTAGGTAAGCTATAGCTTTATAATATACTATAAATAACGCCTTTAAGCGCGGGAAATATTAGTAATTAATACCTAGTTTTATATATATAATACTAAGGCTATTAGCACGCTTTAAAAATTAAAGGTAATAATTAAAAAGTTTTTTTAAAGCCCCGTGCTATTAACTTTATATAAATAATATTTTAATAATTTAATACACGCGTGAATAGCCCTTATTATTTTAAAATTAGGTATTTTAGGTGCTATATTAACTTATAAACTAATATATAGTATACCTATGGTAATTCCCTAAATATATAAGTATTAAAAAAATAAGCTAATTAATAAGCTTATTAATTAAGTAGCTTTTATAAAGGCCTGGCCTTTAAAGCCTAACTTTTTAAAGGCGTAGCCTATAGTAAGTAAAATATATAATTTATATAAATAAATACACTATACTACCCAAGCTAAATAATAAAAAGGTGCTTTTCTAAAATTATTTATATAATATAAATAATAGCTTAGTATAAAATTAAAGCCTTATTAAATTAAATTTTAGCTAAAGCTAGTGCTAAAATAACTAGTCTTATATTATTAATTAATACTTAAATTTTTATATAATAACTTTAAGTAGTATTATAAATACTTTTAATATAAAAATATTAGGCTTACCTACTTTTATAAAATAAATAAAAACTTTAAATATTTAGTTTTTTATTATTACTTTAAATAATATTTTTTATAATAGCCCTAGTACCTTATAATATTATTAATAATTAAAACTAAGGCTTTAAAGTACCTTTATAAATTAAAGCTTAAGGGCTTTATATTTTTACTAAAAATTATAAACTTTTATAAATTTATTTATTCTTGCTAGGGCACCCCGCGCCCTAGTATTATTAAAATTATTTAACTTAATATTAAATAATTTTTTTTTATTTTTATTATACTTTTTTTTTTATTTTAAATATTTTTTTTAGTATAACTAGCTTTAATTAATATACTTTTTTTATAATAAGGCAGGTTCCTGTAACCCTTTATAACTAAAATCTTAAATATATAATAAATAATACCTATTAATAGCTATATATAAAAATAATATATAAAAAATAGGTGCCAGGCCTATAAGCTTTAGTAAAAGTTACTTTTTAAAATAAAAAGCTTTTTTATATATAAATTATTTAAATAAATTACTTACCTAGTAGCAGCACGCCCCTATACCTTAAAAAAGGTTTAAAATAATAGGCGTACGCCTAGTAATCCCCGGGGTGTTAAATATCACTACTACTACTACTATTATTACCTAAGGTGGATAGCGTCGGTCCGACAGGTATATGCCACCCATGGGCAATACTCTCTGATATCAGTGCCGATGGAAAACATCAGCAGGCTCAGGGTCCGATGCTCGAGGCTCTGGGCCCTGCACTATGCCCACCCCAGCCTAGCGGAGTCTCACTTGGTCTGCCTATAAAAGCCGCTCCCCCGCCTGGGTCCTTCTTTCCTCTCCGACTTCTTCCAGGTTTATCTCACCATGGAGGACGAATTCGTGGTCGTCGAAAGAGCCGATCTCCCCCCTTCTCGCGAGGAGTCATGGCTCGAGCCCACCGACTACCGAGGCGAGTCCAGCGAGTTCCAGCAGCACCTGAACTCACTGGTGCCTGGCACCGGCGAATGGATCGAGCAGACCCCCGAGTTTCAGCAGTGGCGTGACTCGTCTTCCCATGGCGCCCTCTGGATCAAGGCCATCGCCGGCGCTGGAAAGAGCGTTCTCGTCGCCCGTTTGGTGTCTCTCCTGCAACAGCAGAAAGACATTCCCGTCCTCTTCTTCTTCTTTCGACAGATTGTCATTGCGAATCATGGTCCTCATTCTTTGGTTCGTGACTGGCTCGTTCAGCTCTGCAGATACTCTCCGGACCTGGTCAAACGACTGGAGACTCTCCGGGAAAGCAACAAGCGCGTGCAGGATGTTGCCTTCAATGAACTGTGGCAGATCCTCCTCGATACCCTGGGCTCACTTGGCAGGGTGTACTGCGTTGTTGATGCTCTTGATGAACTGGACACGAGGCATACCGCGGACTTTCTACCTCGCCTGGTGGCCTTGGGGCAGCTGGCACCCGACCGGGTCAAGGTCGTCATGTCGAGTCGTCCCCTTCCCCAGATCCAGGCTGTCCTCAAGACTCCCAGTGTCCTGGAAGTTCGGTTGGAGAACGCCCAAGTCAACAAAGACATCGCCTTGTTCGTCGATTACCGTCTACGAACCGCCCAACTACCCGACCTGGACGAGCCTGCCCTGGCCGAAGTCAAGAAAGCAATCGGCAACCGTGCTCATCCATCGTTTCTGTACGCGCGACTGTTGCTCAGCGAACTGCTAGACAAGCATGCGATACAAGGCTGGTCGGAGGAATCCGTCCGCCAGTCGCTTCGCTATATCCCGGAATCGCTCGAAGACTTGTATACTCAGATGCTCCGCGATCATTCAGAGAAGGCTTCTGTACCACAGGAGCGTCAATTCCTGATCCTGCAGCTTGTTACCCATGCCACAAGGCCTCTTCGCTTACTCGAGATTGCGACCGTCTTGGATTTTCTGTCAATGGGCGCCGACCGGGAGGGCAAGTATCCAGATACAAAAGCAATGACACGGATGTCTTGCGGCCCTCTGCTAGAAATCCTAAACGACGAGACTGTGTCCATCATTCATCATTCCTTTACCGAGTTCTTGACAGACACCCGGCGAAAAAAGACCGATACGTTTCCCGTTGTCGATCCAGAGGATGCTCACCGTCTGATGGCGAGAATATGTCTGCGATACATTTGCGGAGGAGGGCTGTCATTAGAGACGGTGAAGAACTCGCCCGAGTCTATGTATGAGTTTGAGAATGGGCCAGCCAGCAAACTGAGGAAAGCCCAGATGGATAACCCCTTCATTGACTATGCAGCAAGGAACTGGCCTGGCCACGTTCGTCATCTGACGGCACTCGACAGTGAGCTGCTTCAGCACCTGCAACGGTTCTTACATGCTGGAAATGACGCCTTTTTGGCCTGGGTGATTGCGCTCATGAAGCCTGGCAAGGACCCCATACCGTCCACCATCTCGCCCCTCCACGCCGCCGCCTGGGCCGGAATCGCCAACTACGTTGAAAACCTGCTTTCCGCTGGCCAAGATCCCAACGTGGTCACCAAGCTGGACGAGACTCCGATTGCCATGGCAGCGAGGAACGGACATGCAGACGTTGTTGAGACCTTGCTTCGCCATGGAGCCGCTCCTGATGAGCCCGACTACTTTGGAATGAAGCCTCTGCACCACGCTGCACGAGCCAACCACCACGCTGTCGTCAAGGCTCTCGTGGACGCTGGAGTCGACCCATCAACGCAAAAGACTCGGGATCCCACGCCGCGCAAATGTGGGAATATGCGGCCCAGTGTGGGACAGACACCACTGGAATATGCGTGTGGTGCTGGGGCCATTGAATCAATCCGTGCAATGCTTCCTCATTTTACCGCTGGCCATGCACGCTCAGCGATTTGGTGCTGCATGGGGAGCTCACGAATCGAGCTGCTTCGATTACTCGTTACGTTCCCAGGCCTTGAATTCAGTTCGGAATTCGGTGGAAGGTGCCTGATGAGAGCGGCAGAGAACGCAAACCTCGAGACCCTCCAGCTTCTGCTGAAGTTAGGAGCCAACGCCCGGTATCAGCCACAGCGGCCACGGTTTGCCATTCGAAACAGCAATGAGTGGCAGCCAGCCGAGACCGTTCTCCTTTCTCTGTGCAGGTCAATGGACCGCATGAACTCTAGGCTCCTGCATAGTCCCACAGATACAGAGAACTTTGAGAAATGTCTAGATCTCGTCCTCCAGGCAGGCTGTGACGTGGACGCCCGCGACCCTCGCAACTCCGACCGGACTGCTTTGTTTCATTTCGCGGAAAAGAGCCTTCCTGGCATAGAAAAACTCTTGGAAGCCGGCGCAAATGTACACGCCACTGACCGGGCGGGAAACACTCCGTTACACGTATACAGCCCTCGCAAGGGCTCTGAGCGTACGCTGGCGGCTTTACTACAACATGGCGCTCGCTGGGATGTGATCAACCCTTCCGACGGCAAAACCCCTCTCCACAGCTGTTTTGATGGTTTCAGTAGTGACCACAATCCGGAGGTCTTGCAACCTTATATCTCAGACTGGAACATCCCTGACTGGCGAGGTGACACGGTCTTGCACTGCGTGGCCGAACGCCACAGCGATCTTGTCAGGAAGCTGCTGGAACTGGGAGCAGATCCCAATCGCCGCAACCACGCCGGGAAAGTCCCGCTGCATCTGGTTCACCGCGGTGACGATATTGACGCTCTTCTGGCCGCCGGGGCAGATCTTGAAGCGAGGGACAACAAGGGCCGGACTGTGCTTCTGCGCAACGTGGTTAAGAGTGATGCCGGAGTGCTACAACACCTCCTTAATCACGGGGCGAACCTGCGTGCGGTGGACTTTGAGGGTAACGGGGCACTGGGTCTTGCCATTGGGAAACCAATGTCTGGCGGCGAGGTCTTTGAGTTTCTCCTGAAGGCCGGCGCAGATGCTGGCCATCTCAACCACAATGGCGATACCCTGTACCACCGGTGGATAGAGGCGTCCTTGGAAGGGTCTCCCAATTCTCGTGCTGATCGCAGGATCTATAATCTTCTCCTGGAGCACAGTGCATCCAGCCCAACTATGCCGAATAGCAAAGGACGAACAATCCTTCACTGCATGTGCTCTGTTCCAGTTGGTTACCGTGAAACGCTGTGGCGCCCTGAGGAGAATGTGCTGGAGTGGCAGCCGCTGAACACGCTGCAAGAGCTGATTGAGACTGCGGACTCTGAGGGCCGACGACCGATCCACGACGCGGCAGCCACATCGGAGGAATTGGTTGCGTGGCTGATGCAGAAAGGGGCAGCCCTCACGGCGTTGACCCACAAGCGAGAAACCGTCCTGCATATGGCTGCTCGGGCGAAGGAAAGCAATGCTCTCGGGCTACTTGTGGAGAGCTTGGATGCGTCACAGCTAGAGTCGAGTATCAACCAGCAAGATGATGAAGGACGGACTCCTCTATTCTATGCTTGCCGTTCAGGCGATCTGCAGAGCGTCATGATACTCCTAGAAGCTGGATCTAATGTGCACATTAGTGACAATAATAAGGAGACGCCTCTACACGCCTGCGCTCACTTCAAAGCCCAACGCGTATACCCGGACCGCGACCGCCATCCCCCAAGCCACGACGAGGGTTGGCGGAAAGTCATTGACGAGGACGAAACGCTTGGGGTGCAGGGGATCATCCGTGCACTCATATCTCGTGGCGCGGACGTCCTCGCTCAAGACAAGTACAGAAGAACCCCGCTCGAGATTGCAGTTCAGCTTGAGAATGAGGAGATGGTAGCATCTTTGGTGGAGGAGACGAGGCAGGCAATACACTCAACACCAAACGAAAATGGTTCAACGAAAACTCCGAACTCCCCTGGACAGCTGGTATTGACGGCGCGTCACACTATCCCTACTGCGATTGTGGATCAGATCCTGCAGAGCCAAACTCATCGTCCAGTTCAAACTTATCACTGGCTGCTGAAGCTGCGCGCGTACGATGCCATCCGAGCCCTCGCTAGACGTGGTATGCCCTTAGTGGGAACTAGGCCACACGACTGGGACAGTTTCCTCCATGACCTTGTTCAACTAGGCATGTCGGAGCTGCTTGATGACTTGGGCAAGATCGCAACAGGAGAGCATTGGGTGGATGGGAGCACGCCCGACCCCAATACCGGCCGGACGGACTTGCAGCCGTTTCTCATCCTGGCAGCTGGCCGTAAGACACCCAGTGTCGATCTCCTGAAGGTCATTGTTGAGACGTTCCACGCGGACACTAACATTCAGACATACGACGTTGACTACTCGAGGGAAAACAGGAATATTATGGCGATGAAGAGCCCCCTTAGCATCCTCGCCGCGGGCAAGCACTGGTGGCATAGGGACGGCATCCGCTATCTGCTTCAGCGCGGTGCCAACCCTAACCTTTGTAATGGGAAGGGTCAATCTCCACTGCATATTGCCGTCAAGGGCGGTTACCGACGAGCAAGCATTGTCAGGATCCTGCTGGAACATGGCGCAAACCCTGACTTGGTCGATTTGGATGGCAATACACCGCTGAGCCTTGCAGCCGGCGACCCGGATCTTGTGCGGTTGCTGCTCCAGCATGGAGCGGACATACATCTGGGATCCAACCCAGTCTTGTTTACTGCCATTGGGAAGCAAGACGTTGACAGTGTTCGTATTATTCTAGAAGCTGGGGTTGATTGCAACAAGCCCTTCAGCGAGCGTTCGTCGTCCCCAGTGCCTGAGAAGGCCGAGGAGGAATCTGCCCACGACCTTGTTTATGGCGACAGGTATCACAGATGGAATAACAGCAACAACGAGGAGGATGCAGACCGGGCACGCATGTTGCTCTGCCGGCCACTGCATTATGCGTGCCATGCGCGGTTCAACCGCGTAGACAGGGGCAAGGCCGTTGAGATCGTGAAGCTGCTTCTGGAACACGGCGCCAATCCATTCCTTCCTGTTTGTCCAGATGAATCTGAGATCCTCATCCACGACGTGATATACCAATGGGGGATCGTTGAGCCGCTTCTTGCCATTCCAAATCTCGACCCTCACCTACGCGATGGCTCAGGACGAACCCTCCTCCTAGCAGCGTGCTCACCACAAAAAGAGGACTTTATCGATGCATGGGGTTGCGGAAAGGAGCGTGATAATTGGCGCTCTGCTCTTGGATCTGCTGTTGCACGAAGGGAACACGCAATCACTCGACTATGCGACCTCGGAGCTGACGTTACTGCGACGGACGGTGAAGGCAATACAGCGTTGCATCTGCTCCTCACTGTAGCTGAAGATGCCGAAGCGAATCCTCTCCCCGACGAATGGACTACCCTGCTCTCATTCATGCTCGCACAGCGTCCAGATATGATCCACCAGCGTAATAATGCAGGGTATACGCCCTTCCACATGGCCGCTGCAAACCGCCAATTCAAACTCATCCCCTTCCTCATCGACCATGGATCGAACCCCCTGGAGCCTGATCCCAATGGAAACAACGTCCTCCACCACCTCGCGCCAACCCTGGGCAAAGAGCGCAAAGAAAACCACTTCGACGTATTCGATACCTTCATCGCGGGGGGTCTAGACATTAACGCCCGGAACGCGCTCGGCGAATCACCCCTATTCAAATACATCGCCTCTGTTAACTGTGAGCGCGTCATTTCGCATAAGAGTTTCATCATCGAGGGCTTCCAACATCGAGGCGCCGATATCCTGTCCCGCAACAACAACGGCGAGACAATGCTGCACCTGGTTGCCCAGATGTCCTGTACGCATGGGATTGGCTGCGACGCGCGGTTCTGGGGCCGGGGGAAGGGCGAGGAGGCGTGTGGGTTTATGTACCTTATGGGGTTAGGGCTGGATCCGATGGTCGAGGATGTGAGGCAGAGGTCTGCTGTGGTAAGTTGCTCTTTAGGGTCTGGGATCATGTGTAGGTGAATACGCTAATACTGGCAGGATATTGCGGCTGCGTATGGGAAGATAGAAATTTTGGAGATGTTTAAGAAGGTGTAGCCTATATTGATTATTGTTAAGAGAGTCATCATTGCCGTCATGATATATTCGAGCATCACAGATTACAACTCCAGAATAACTTAATATCAATCCTACAGCCTCGCTGCCTCCCTCACAACCTCAAAGCCCTCCTCCCAATGATCCAACGCCTCGCGAATCTGCTTCACATACGTCGGAAGTCCGCCCGCATAGCACACCGGCTCATACGCCTTCCCCGGGATACTCCCGCCCATATACGTCGACTGCGTCGTCGGAAACAGCGTGCGGTCGTTCAGCTCAATAACATGCCTCTTCCACTCCTCGCTGGCCTCCTTCTTCGGATTGATGTACTTGACGCCGTTGGCCTCGATCTTGGCGATTGTATCCGCAATCCACCGGCCCTGCACGGCGACTGTTGTCGGTCCGTTGGATAGCAGTGTTGGCCCGTGGGCCCCGTAGATGTGGAACATGTTGGGATAGCCTGAGACGGTCGTGCCGAGGTAGGTTTGCGCACCTGGCGCCCATTCTTCCTCCAGCGAGGTCCCGTCGATACTTTTTAGCCCGAGTTGCGTCATTACGCCGGTGACCACGTCCTGTATGCCGTTAGCATTGGCTTCCATTGAGTGAGCAGAGGATAAAAGGGGGGGCCTCACAAACCCCGTCGCAACAGCGACAACATCAACCTCATGCTCCGTCCCATCAGCAAGCACAATCCCGCGCTCCGTAAAATGGCTGATCGGATTACTCTTGATATCCACAAGCTCCACACTCTCCCGATTAAACTGCTCATAGTAGTCCGTCTCAAGACAAGGCCTTTTGACACCAAAATAATGCGGCATTTCCTCCAGCTTCGGCGCCAGCTTCTCGCGGAGTTCCGGGTCCCCAATCCGGCTGCGCACCTTCTTCGCCCAGAACTTGTAGCTCTCTTTATTTGCCTCCGCGTCAAAAAGATTATCCTTGTAAATCGACACCCAGAAATGGAAGCCCCCCTCAGCCCACGCCTTTTCATAGACTTGTTCACGCTCCGCGGCGCTGTCATCGAACGTATTCTTCTCCGCCCAGTCGTATAGAAATCCCGCGAAGGACGTCTCGCGGTACCGGAAGAGCTCCGGGTAGAATCGTTTGCGGAGGACTTGGTCTTCGATGCTCAGGGGGCGGCGCTGCATGGGGAGGGCGAGGTTGGGCGTCCGCTGGAAGACTTTGAGGTGCGAGGCGAGCGGGCCCCAGGCTTGGGTTATCTGGACGCCGGACGCGCCGGTTCCGATCACGGCGCATCTTTTGGACCGCACGGGGATTTCGGCGTCGGGCCAGAATGAGCTGTGGTGGATGACGCCGCGGTATTTGGACAGGCCGGGCCAGGGGGGGATCCAGCGTTTTGCGGCCTAACAATTCAGAAGAAATTAGACCTTGCGTCGCAGAAGAGAGCAGAGACAAGAGGGAGTGGGAGTGGGAAAGTGACGCACGAATCCAGTCCCAAGGACAAGGAACCTCGCCTTCGCGACGCGCCCATCCGCAGTCCGCACACTCCATTTCCCGGCTTTAACGTCAAACTCCGCCCCCACGACAACCGTGTTAAACGCGCAGTCCTTCTTCACGCCGATAACCTTGTCCACGTGGTCAAAGTACTCCCTGAGCTCCTGGTACGTCGGGTAATTGCTCTTCCAGTTCCAGGTCTCGTACACCTCGGGCCAACTGAACTCGTACTCGGGGACTTCGGAGTCGACAGCCGCGCCCGGGTAGCAGTTCCAGCGCCAGGTGCCGCCGGTGTCGTTGCCGGCTTCGTAGATTGTTGTGCGCAGGCCGCGGTCGCGGAGGGTTTTGAGCATGAAGATGCCGGCTGCGTTGGAGGAATGTGTTAGATCGGTGCAATTGGGGGAAGCGTGCATTTGGGGAACGTGTGGAGAGACGGACCGAAACCGGCGCCGACGATCAGGGCATCGATGTCGAGGTTCTCGGCGTAGGGGCCCGTCTTGGATGAGTGGGTTGTTGAGTAGTCGGTCAAGGACGTGGCGAATTTCTTTTCGGGAGAGCTGGGCTGGGGGGCTCCTAGACTCCCCATGTTGATGATGCGGTTGCGGTGAGCAAGATAAGATGAGTGGAGAAGGCCAATTGTTAGACAAGATTCTATAAGAAAAATAGAACTCCTGGGAAGTAACCTGTTTTTATACCCCTCCTCTTCCCATTAGGTCACTCGCCTGCACCCATGCAACCTTACACCACCGGCTTCTCCAAACTCGCCGTAGCCGCTGGGGTCTCACAGACGGTGATGCAGATGCAGTACGGAGTAGGCCAAATCATCCATGAATCATGAACCAGCGCCGATCAAACTCAATCCCCAACTATCCGCGGATTGCTCCACGGCCCCTCCCCCAGCATTCGCAATGGTCCGCAATGGGTCGTCGACTGGTCGTTGCTTCCCCGCATTCCCAGGTTCTTTGGCGGAGGTCACAGTTGGGGTTGACTAGAGCCCGCGGGTTAGGCATCCGCCAAGGCGCGCTAGTTTTAATATAATAAGTAGGCTAAAATTTAGCCTAAATATATAAGTTAATTATTTTATTTTTTTTATACCTTATTAATTTTACTAGGTACTAAGTTATAACTAGTTAGCTTTACTAGCTAACTTTATAGTAATATAAAAAAATTAGTTATTAATTAAGTATATTAACTTTTTTTTTTAAAATTTTTTTTTTTTTTACTTTTACTTTTTACTTACCTTAAACCTAACTAGTTAAAGCTAACTAATTAAAAGTAACTAGTTATTACTTTTTATTAATTATTTTTATTATTTAATTTTTAATTAGTTACTACTTAGTGCCTAACTAGTTATTTTTTAATAGTTATTTTTTATAAGTTTATTTTTATTAATATTCTTAACTAGTTATTACTTAGTTTTTAACTAGTTATTTAGTATAGTAATAAAAAACTAGGTACTTAAAATTCTTTTAAAGTACTAGTAATATATAAAATTATATATTACTAGTATTTTTAAGCTTTTAAAGTTTAAGATTATAAGTTAACTAAATTATAACTAGTTAATAATAGGTTATTAATTAATTTAATTTAATATTAACCTTGCTAATAGCAAGCCTAAAATACTTAAAATTTATATTAAAAAGTAATAATACTAGTGCCTTAAGTGCGCCTTATTAATAAGTTAATTAGTATTTAATTAATATTTAACTAGTAATTAATTTTTTATTTAAAAAAATTATGGTATAAAGTCTAACCTTACTAGGCATGTTAAAAAAATATATATTAAAAAAAACCCTTTTTATATTTTTAACTTTTACTTAACTAATTATAATAAAAAAACCCTAAATAATAATAAGGTTAGTAATATAATTAATAAGTAAATAGCCTATCCCTAATTAATTATTAATTAATTATTAATAAGTAATAAATTAATACAAGGTACTTATTAAAAACTATATTAATTACTAAAAGGCTTAAGCTATAAAAAAAAGGTAAGTATAGTAATTACTTATTTTTAACTAATTTTTAACTAGTTAAATATTATAAAAGTAATACTAGCTAATTAACTTTTACTTTTAGCCTTAAAAAAAAGAGGTAAGTCCCTTAATTAATAAGTAACTAATTACTAACCAGTTAGCCCTATTATTAATTTTACTTTTAATAAGGTTAATAAAACTCTTGCTATTATACCTAAAAATCTTATATAAATTTAAGCCCTAACTAATTTATAACTAGTTACTAACTAGTTATTTTTAAATTTTTTTTTTTTTAATTATTAAGCGCCCTTTTATTTATTATTATTATAATTATTTATAGTATAGTAATAAAGAGCTTAAAATATATATATAAATTAAATATTTTTAATTAATTACTAACTAGTTATATATAAATATTATTTTAACCTTTTTTAAAAATAATAACGCCTAGGTTAAATATAAAAAGTTTATTAAGCTTAATAAAAAGTAAAAGGTATAAGTTATTTTTATATTAACCCTAATTAATTACTAATTAATTACTTATTAATTACTTTTTTTTATATAATTAAAAAAGTGTTAAGCCCTCCTTGCCCCTTAATAAAAATAAATAAGTAAGTTTTTTTAATTAATTTATAATTAGTTTTTAACTAGTTTAGTTAAATAACTTTAAAATTTAAAAGCTAGGCAAGTAGCTTGCTTTATAAGCTTATAAAATTAATTTTAAAGTTAATATAAAGCCCATGATGCCCTGCGTAAGTTATAAAAAAGTAAAGGCTAAGTATAAGTTTTTTTAATTAATTTTTAATAAGTTACTAACTAGTTAGCCTGCAAAAGCACCTTTATTTATAATTTTTAAAAGTTTTATTAAATATTTTACTATTTTAATACTTAAAATGCTGCGCAGGAGGAGAAGGTGCAAGAAAAAGAATTTAATAAAAAGTAATTATAAGCTATAGTAAAAAAGGTTAAAAAAATTAATAAATAATTAAAATTAGCTTTTTTTAAAAATATAATAACTAGTCCTTAACTAGTTACTAACTAGTTATTAGCTATTTATTTTTTATTACTTTATTTTTTTTTAACTAGTTCTTAATTAGTTACTAGCTATTTATCTTTTATTACTTTATTTTTTTTTAAAAACATGGTAACTAGTTCTTAACTAGTTCTTAATTAATTATTAGCTATTTATCTTTTGTTACTTTGTTTTTTATATATATCTAAATTAAAAAGTAATTTTTATTTTTTAAATATTTAATATATACAAAGTAAATAAGTATAATAGTTAATTTATATTATATAAGTAAATAATATAATAAAAATTAAAAAAAAATATTAAAATTAGCTAATATATTATTTAAAAAAAGGCCTTTTAAAATATATAATATTTTTATTTATAAAGAGATATATAGTATTATTTTAATATTACTTTTTAAAAATTTTTAATTTTATATATATTAAATATATTTTTATTAACTAAACCTTTAAAAAATAATTAATATATTATTTTAATAAAAACNTATTTTATTTATTTTATTTATTTTATTTATTTTATTTATTTTATTTATTTTATTTATTTTATTTATTTTATTTATTAATTATTTATTTTATTTATTTTATTTATTTTATATATTTTATATATAAGTATAATATAGTTTAAATATAAATTAAATTAAGAAAAAAAAAAAAGAAAAAAAAATATTTTTATTAAACTAGTTATAAACTAGTTAATAACTGGTTAGGTAAGTGCTAGGTATTAGTAATAAACATGGAAATAAAGCAGGTAGTAAGCTAGTAACTAGGCCTTGTTATAAAAAAAGCTATTAAAAACTAGTAATAATAATAGTAAACTACTAATTTACGGAGTTATAAGGGGCTAAAAATATAATAATTAATAAGGTTAGGCTAAAGGTAGACTAACTAGTTCTTAACTAGTTATAAAAAAAACCTAGTTAATAAGCTAAGTATAAGCATGACTAGTTCTTAACTAGTTATTAAAAAAGTTAAGGCTTACTAAATTTTAAATAAAACTAGTGCTTAACTAGTTAGGCCTGTATATAATAAGTTAAATAATTATTTTTTTAGGCCTAATAAATAAAGTAACTAGGGGGTAATAAGTCCCTAACTAGTTAGTAATTATTATTTTAAAGTATTTTTTAAAAATAACTTTTAATTTTTTAAGTATTGCTTTTATACTATAACTTATTATTTTTAAAACTTTAATTAGGCTTGTAACTTAGCCTAATTTTATATAATTATTTTTATTATAAAGGGTAATAATTTAACTAGTTAATAACTAAATTATAACTAGTTATAAATAAAATACCTAAGGCTTAAAAATTATAGCCTTTATTATAAGGTAATAAACCTAAAAGTTAATTTAAAATAGCTTTATTTTAAAATTTTAAAAAATAATATAAATCTTGCCTAAACCTTATATTTTAGGGTAAAAGCTTTTTTTTTTTTAAAATTTATATTAAGGGCTGTATTATTTTTTATATTTTACCTTTATTTTTATATTATAACTAGTTAGTAATAGGTTAAAATTTAATAAGTAATAAGTTAGGGTTTAATAAGGGACTAATTAAAAAATTTTTATATAACTTATATTATTATTATAGCTTTAAAATAAGTTAAGCTACCTTATTATTATTTTAAAAGTTATATATAATATTATATATTTTTTAGGTATTATATTAAAATATATCCTGCTTATTTAAAGTATAAGCACTAAGTTAACTAGTTAGTAATTAAATATTAACTAGTTATAAATTAGTCCTTACCTAGTTACTACTTGTATAATTAATAGCTTTTTTCTAGTAAAAATATATAATTTTTAATAGGTACTTTTGCTAGTATTAATATAAAAACAGGCCTTTTTAAAATATATATATAGTATTTATAAATAATATAAATTAAGGCTAGTAAAAATTACTATTATAACTTTATAAATAACTTATTACCTTACTTTTAGTAGGACCTGGGGTACTAAAATAAATTAATAAAAAAATTAGTTAGGAGCTACTGCTTGACTAGTTTATAATTAATTACTTATTTAAAAAAAATATAATAATATTATAAAACTTATTAAAAAATTAAGTATAAATAAGGCTTGTTATAAGCTAGTATATTACTATTTTTTATTAAAACTTTTTAATTATATTTTTAATTTTTTATAAAAAATAAACTTAATAAAAAATAGTAATATTATAAAGCTGCCATTAATAAAACTAGTTATTTAAATTAAAACTTTAAAAATATTTACTAAAACTTAACTAGTTAGTAACTAGTAAATAACTAGTACTAGAAAAATACCTTTTATTTAATCTTTATTTATATTTATAATAATTATTTTAAAGCTTTATTAATAAAAATACTAAAACCTTGCTGGTTCTCCGCAAATTACTTTAAGTAATTTAAAAGTTTTAATAAATAAGATTTTATAGGTATTTTTTAATTTTTAATTTATAAATGCTTAATAAAGTATAGTAATTAATATAATTAATTAATAATTAGTAACTAATTAGTTATTAATAAGTGCTAGTTAACCTACCTTTACTATGTTTTATAAAAAATATAGTAAAAATAACCTTATTAAGGCTATTATTATTTACCCGCTTATAAGATATATTTATTTTAAAAAAGCTTAAAAACTATATAAGTTTAAGCTGCTTATTAAAGGTATAAATAATAATTATAAAACCTTTATATAAATAAATATTTTAAATATATGCCTAAAACAAGTTAGTAACTAGTTATTAATTAATTAAATACTTATACTTACCTATAATTTTAAAATTTAAATTTTTTTAAAGTATAGGTTATTAATATTTTTATTATATAGGTATATTAATAGCTTTTACTTAGTTATTATAGTAAATATTTAATTTATATTAGTAAATACTAAATAAATATTACCTAAATAATTAATATTATACTTTTAATAAAATTTATTAACCTGTAAACTATAAAAAAGTTAACCTAAAATAACTAGTTAGTAACTAGTGGCTAACTAGTTAATAACTAGTAAATTATACTTACTTTTTATAAAATTTAAATTACCCATGTCCTAAATAATAGCTTAAATTTTTTTATAATATATATAAGGTAATTTTTCTAGTGCTGGTGGTAGGTGTGTATACTTTTTTTTAAATATAAAAAAAATAAAAAAATATTTTTTAAAATTATTTAGAATAAAAATTTAAAATTTAACCTAGTATTTTAATGGTTTTATAAAATATAACTAGCTATAAAAAAAGGCTTTAATTAATTAGTAATTAATTAAAGACTTATTAGGGACAAGTTTAAAAACTTATAGTATTTTAAATATTTTAATATTAATAACTAGTAAACACTATAATTATAGGGTTGGAGAACCTTAGGTCTTTTAAATAATTACTTTAAATAATTAATATTTATTTTTTATTTAGGTGCTAGGGGTATAAAATAATAATTATTTAAAAACTCCTAGTTTTAATTATAACAGGCTATAAAAGCTAAGGCATAACTAATTTTTAATTAATAGCTAACTAGTTAATAACTAGTTATATATTTAAAAAACTTAAACTTATAAGTTTCTTAATAATAACTTAGGGCCTGCAGGTCTTATTAAATATAAAATAAAAAAATACTTTTTTATTATTATTAAATAACTTACTTATACTTTAAAAATAATTATTAAAATAAAAAACTAGTTAGTTACTAGTTAGGCACTAGTTATAAATATATTACTTACTTAATAATATTTTTTTTATTTTTATTAATTTTATACACCTTAAAAAAAGCTTAATATTACTAAATATTTTTTTAGCTATTATTATTAAGCTTAAAGTAATAAAGGCTTTTAATATTTAAATAAATTATAAGGTATATTTAAACTTTAAAGTATTAATACTTAATATAAAAATATATTTAATATAAGTAAGGGTTAAAAATATGCTTTTTTTAATATTTTTAATAATACTTATATTAAATTTATAATTAGTTAGTAACTAGTCAGGCACTAGTTAAGCTTTAATTATATATATATATATATATATTTATTACTTTCTTAATTTTTAAAATATTTATAATAGGCTTATTTATAAAAATAATATATATTATACCACCTAGGCTACTTTTTAAATACTTAGGTAGGCTATAACATGTTTTAAGCTTTATTATTATAATTACTTAATATAATAAGTTAGTAAAAATATAGTAGTTACCCTTTATTTATAATTATTAATAAATAATTAATTAAGAACTAGTTATTAATAAGTTAAAATTTACTTACTTAAGTTTTAATATTTTTAACTTTAAGATTTACTATATTAATAGCCTGTAATAATTAAAATATTATAAAGTAACTAGTTAATAACTAGTAATTAAATAAGGTAAAAAACTAGTTAGTAACTAGTTAAACTAGCTTAGGTAATTATTTATTTTTTATAAAGTATAATAAAATATTTAATAATATAAAAATAAAAGTTAAAAAAAAATAAAAGTTAAATAACCAAGGCGCTTTATACTAGCTGCTTTTAATTAGCCTTAGATACCTAACCCGCGTGACCTAGTCGACCCCAACTGTGGTCTCTCTTTGGCGGGTCCCCATTGGCTCCAGGTGGGACGGAACGATCCCGCGCCGAGGCCGCGCTCCACTGCGGAGCCCAAGATGTGGGTCCGACTGAACCCCGCTTGAATCTCGACTTTAAGTTCAGAGCAGAGTCAGTGAATGCTCAATGCGTAAAAGGGGGAGGAGTTATGAATCAGATACTTATATGGAATAGGAAAAGGGTATTGGTGGTCATTGATCGCAATGGCAGAGAGGAAGGGTTGCCTAGAGATACCCCTCATCAGCAGTATCACGGGGCTATTCACGGACTGGACTGGCTAGGATAAGAGAAGCACAAGATTGGCTGCCTTGCCTTCATGCAGGTTTGCTTTTGCTACCTGGGAGGTTATAACCCCGCTTTTACTCGGTTCAGCTTCGCGCCATCTTCGATCCAACACTCCCCCATCCCCATCATTTTCCAAGGTTATCTTATCGAATTCATCGATAACAATCGAATCGACCGTCATGACCGTGACATCGCCCTTCACCGAAGAAACCCTCTCCACCCTGCGCACCCTCGTCGACAATGCTTGCGCCGACCCAAAAACCACCATCCCGGGCGCAACAGTCGTAATCGTCGACAAGACCGGCACCGAACTCTTCGCGCACTCAGCCGGAAAGCGCGGCGCGCACTCGTCCGAGCCCATGACGCTCGACAACATCTTCTGGATAGCCTCGTGCACGAAGATGCTCGTCGGCGTGGCAGTGATGCAACTCGTCGAGAAAAATATCCTGAACCTAGACGATAAAGAGCAGATTGAGAGTCTGTGTCCGGAACTCCGCGATCTCAAAGTCTTGAAAGAAGACGGGACGCTCGAGGAGAAGAAGAATGCTATCACGCTTCGCATGCTCCTGACGCATACCGCTGGCTTCGGGTATACGTTCTTCAACGATCGGCTCCGCGAGTGGTCGTACCCTGCTGGTGTCGATGAGTTCTCAGGGCGCATGGAGGACGTCAAAACGCCGCTGCTGTTTCAGCCGGGTGAGGGGTGGGAGTATGGCGTACGCATTTTCCAACCACTGCCATACTCTCTCAAGTATAGGATGACTCTGCTAACAACGTCCAGGTCGGGCTCGACTGGGCGGGCATCGCCCTGCAGCGCGCAACGGGCCTCACGCTAAACGAGTACCTGCAAAAACACATCTTCGCGCCACTGGGCATCAAAGAGATGTCCATGATTCCAAACGAGGACATGCGCCGTCGAATGGCGTACATGAATCACCGGGGTGAGGACGGCACGCTCCGGCCAAGGGACCACCTGCTCCGCGCCCCGCTCGTCGTGGACCTGAACGATGAAGCCGAGATCAAGCGCGTGTTTGATAGCGGTGGCGCGGGGGTGTACGCGAAGCCGCAGGAGTACTGCAGTGCGCACCACCACCCCTATCCTGCATTGCGCCCGGCTAACAAGTGCACACATGCAGAAATCCTCGCCGTCCTCCTGAACAACGGAACGTGCCCGAAAACCGGCGTCCAGCTCCTGTCTCCAGACACAGTCGACACCATGTTCACGAACCAGATCCCGCATATGCCGCACTACAGTCGGCAGAGCATCCCCGCGTCGAAACCCGATCTGACGAACCCGATTCCCGAGCTCTACCCTGTTGCCGGAGACCCACCGCAGGGATGGGGCCTGACCTTTATGCTGAGTAATGGGGGCCCGACGGG